AAAATTTACATGCTCGGCAGGATTATTGCTACTGATTCAGTCTATCATTTTGTGATACATACAACTGGAGGTTATCTCAGAAGCACTTTGTTCACTCAATTTAATTTTGTTTGACTAAACATCATTAATCATAATATGTATGTTCAATAGAAAGATTAGGTTGATATCACATGAACTTTCCACTTGTGCATGAATATCTCCAGTAATAAAGATCACCATGCACTGTCAAATACCTCTCAAATTCCAGACTACCCATTTTCAACAACATGGACAAACTGTAGCTTTAAGATGAACATTGCTAGGTTTTCTGCATTTACAATCCTGTCCATAACACACATATGTCCAGGAAACCTTTAAAAAAATAGGTTCAAATGATCTGGATCATAACAAAGTTGGCATGCAATTCTGCAATAAAAAGATCCAAACTAGACAATGTGACTGAGCAAACTTCCTTCCCCTCACTGTGAATCCTCATTAATGTTTCCTTCTTTTCAGTTCAACCTTGTTCTTTTCTATTTTGCTGCTACACATGTGTATATACCTACTACATTTAGCTGCTAAAGTCATACCATATTTTTCACCGTCATGATTTTTGTTATTGAAATAACAGTACAGACAATAACATCATATCAATCAATGTGGTATCATTCATCAGTCTATTTATAATACTTTATCGTAATCCCTCAGGGCATAACGTTTTTACAATATACAGAAACAGAGGTGGTGGTGGTGGGGGGGGGGATGTTTGTCACACCAGCCTTGTATATATCATAAATATATTTTATCATACTCATATCTCTCTCTTAAAGCCTCTTTATATTTGCCAATGTAAATAATGAATTGCGATCTGCTGCATGAGAAAGAATGTGTTTGTGTGTTGCCAATAAATTTTCAAGTGGCATCCTTTATCTCTCCCTGAATGGCTTCAAGATAGCTGAAAGTGCACAATAAAAGTCCAAATGATGCAATGAAAATTGAGGCATCTGACATTGAAATGTTGATATACCAAATACAGGTGACCTTGGGATGTTCACCCAGACAGTCATTATACATGAACCCTGATCTATCATTACAATGATAGGTCTATACTGCATCCTCGTTTTTCGTTTTCCATCTGATTATCATTCCTGTGAATGGGTCATCAATAGATTATTTTCAAGTACTAGCCTGCATCATGGGTGGCAATATGCTTGAAACTCCTAAAATATGAGCTGATTCCTGCATATTTTACGTGGAAAGTTGCACTGCATGGGATGGTTTATAATATCAACAAATGATTTCAGGTCAAGATAAGTACATTCCATACCCATTTAGTGTGATCGAATACAAAAGCACTTTCAACTTTCTCACAAACTACAACTAAACTAAAAAGGTGTCTTGAATATGGATCGGGTTCGAGGTAAGAAATATTCTAGTGTCAGTTACATAATAGTAAATTCCCATCTAATGTAATTAAATTATCAGATCTAGGGTACAGTATACAATAAACCTACTTTAATACCAAGAAATTCTTGACAATTACTCATTTCATATAATAGGTATTGCTTGCATTAGCTGAATGTATAGGTGCAAAGAATGAAGCAGCATTTGTCCTCCGTTTTATCTTCTCATTGTCTCCCTAAAACTTCAAAAGCAGTCCTATCACAAAACGTGTTTACATGTCTCCTTCAATTATGTTATTATCTGTCATTATCTTTTGCCTTCACAGGTCTTTAGGTTCTCAGAAATTACGCAAAAGGGACTACCTGTCTGGAATATTTAACTCTCAATGGTTAAGGTACTAAATGAGTTGTTGAAGCAAGGATATACGATATTTCTCTTTGGTTGAAGGGATAATGTGTGACTTTGCAGGTACAGTTGTATGATGTACAAGAGAGAGAGAGAGAGCGAGAGAGAGAGAGAGAGAGAGAGAGAGAGAGGAGAGAAAGAGAAAGTCAGACAGAAAAGACAGAAAGAGAGATAAATAGAAAATAGAGATAGAGAGAGAGAGAGAGAGAGAGAGAGAGAGAGAGAGAGAGGTAAATGAGAGGAGGTAAAAAAAGATACAGACAGTATGTAAATGGGCCCATATACAGGGTGTTAAAAGACACACAAAAATGGATACAGAGCCAAGAGAGCGATGCTACATCATGAGCTGATAACATATAATAATTGTAGACACACTTGTATAAAGGGAAATCCAATATTGATAGCAAACAACTAAATAGGAAAGCAGAAAAATCAAAGAGGCAGACTGGCGATTTATTTAAAAGTTTCTCAATTCTGTTTTTCTTTTCCTTTATTCAAATGAATCTTGTGAAAAGAATAGGATTGGCCTTTAATTAGTTTATGTTGCATTAGACAGCTGTTCCCCCAAACAATATCTGCATGTATCTTTGGGGATGTCTTTCCCCTAAATAAAAATAAATGGTGCATGAAATAGGACACAAATCGTTGATAATCCCTTAGAGTTTCTTTCTCTTAGAAAAGCTTCTTAACACCTTTCTTTTAACTCCAATCCGCTTAAATTGAAAACAGACCTATTCCCAGGGCCTACTGCACCAAAATTTCCATTTTTTGTACATGAATGACAGGTCCTAATTGGCCGACAATAACCCGGGTGGTTTAACCCATCCAAATTGGGGTCAACGGGCCTATTGAAGGGGGACTTGGACCACTTAAAAGAGGGCCCCGTGGGAAAGGGTCCTACTTAGGTAAACAGAACCTTGCAGCGGCGTTCTAAGATGGTACTTGGTAACAGTAGTACATGTACTATGTTCTTGTAGACTTTATAGTACAAGAATATTGATTTAAAGTAAGAAGAAAAAAGACATACTGTGACAAAATTTCTGTAAAATGTAGACCTATGCAAGTATGAAATTTTTAAAAAAATATCAGTGTTGCTCAGATGCAGAACTTAAGTTTGGGGAATAAAGTTTATTCGTCCCCTATCTATCCACTTTCCCTGACTTTTGATGTTGTTTCAAAACCTGATGCATTCTGAGGTTTTGCCTCTATGTGTTACAGAGTGTTTATATCTACAACTGATATTAAAACAATTGAAATTTTATTTTTAAACCATGAGATAATGGTCTAAAAAAAAGAAGGTATGATCTTATCCTAGCTGGTTGCAGGACCTGTATTCCGTAGACAGCAATGGCTTTCAAGGGATTAGTATGGCTACGAAAGAACATCTGCTCAACAATTTGTGATTTTCTTTTGGGCATTTACAACTAAGAAATCATCTCTTTTTGTTACATGTAGGACCGACATGGAAATTGGCATCTTCAGTCTAACATAACTTATAGCCCATTGATGATATGCAAGTAGAAATTACTGGTGCTTTGCACACTTATCTACATCATTTTCATTTTTAAAATTTGCAGTAATTCATACAAAAATACACAAAGATATGTGGACCTATGAATTTTCATCTATAGGTTCATCTTTTCTCTTACTAGAAATCCTCAATTTAGAATTATATCAAGTTATCGACCCATATGACCTCCACATAGATGGTTATCATGCCTGCCCACACTGAACTTCACATTTAGATACAAGACAATGGCTGTTCATTTATGAAGGATATTTTGTCAACAAATTCTGACACTTTACAGATGGGTCTTTCTATGATATACAATAAGAGTATTTCATATGCTCAATTCTAATTGTATCGATGAAATGATTTTGAAAGAGATTTCTAAGCATGGGTCCCATTGAAGTATGGTAAAACCACAAACAACTCTATATTAAGCCTAGTATACTAGCTAGCTGATCAGTAACAAGAAATAGCTGACCTCATATTAAAAGTGGCTCCTGAAACTGGCTACACCACAAGAATGACATTTAAGTGGAACTCAAATATACCAAGTACTTACCAGCATAACTCCTTGAATATACTAAAGAAGTTAGTCAAGTTACCCATATTAACGCCACCGGTCCCTTTTAAGAAGCATTTTCAAGCTTCTAACTTTAGTAACGGTTCGGCTAAGTGAGCATTTAATTTCATTTCTCAAAATGTACATCTGTGGTACTTGTAGTTTGCAATTTGAGCTCAGACTCTGTTTACATTTTAGCCTAGAAAATGGCATGGCGGTAACTATAAATCATTGGCGATATGTACTTTATGGCATGTACTCACTGCACACACTTTTTTTGCTTGCAATTATACATACAGTAGGCCCCATATACATGTACTTAATGTAGTTCACATTTGCTTATGTTCCAGATGAGTAGGTACACCTGTACATATGTTTCATTGTGGGGATGTGAAAACACAATCATATACTACTCATTTATTGTAATTCCAACTGAATTGTAAGATTTCTTTGCTTGCAGTAAATCACAGAGAAAGACAGAGTGACGTATTATACTGCCAAAGGCTAAATAATGAACTGTCATGATTATATCTATTCAGTCCATCTTGTGAAACAAGTTCCTGAGTTCTTCTCAAAAACAGTTCTCGATGATGATCAACGATGTGATGAGATGGAAAATAACAACTTGCTTTCCATGCATAAAAAACATTATGATGACAGAAATCCAATGAAATGGATCATTAATTATAATCTGAGCCCATCTTCAATATCAACACAAAACATCATACCTTTTTTTAAATGGAAATGTTACTCTACCATAACTACACGCCCCATAATAGTACAATAGCTTGCAGAGTTCAATCAAAATACAAATTCCTATCACTGTCTATATCAACAGAAATTAATGATTGAAAATGGTAGGTGTAAATTCAAAAAGGAAGATTCATACATTTTGAACAAAAATCATTTCTGGAAAACTTTCAATTTTTTTTTAGGTCCTGAGTCTTAACACTGTCGTACAAAAATCCATATATTTGAGGATGCACAACTGAAATATTCTAGGTCAAGAGAAATTTCTGGTGCAGATCTCTGCACACTGGTACTGCGAACTGGCACACTGACAATTTTCCTCTTCTTAGATACTAATTTCTATTTTGGAGCAGTTGTTGTTCAATAAGATGATTATAAAAAAGATATACCAACCTGATTGCAATAAGCTGACTTTCATAAACTTCTTGATGAAGTTTGTGTACCCTGTTGAGAGCAGAACTCTTGGACATCCAGCTGTTGGTAGCTGCAGCATTGACCTCACACGACCTCTTAGGATCCACCTGAGACTGGTTACATATGATCTTCTCCAATCTTTCAAACACCTCTCTAGAGACGAGCCTCTTCCCCACGATCCTCCTATCTCCCCAGGTACCTCTGATCGTGTGAGGCTCACTCAGGTTCACGCTTCCAATGTGGAAGGAGATGTTCCCTGCGTAGATCTGGTCGCAATTTGTGGTCCCGTAGCACAACGGACACCGCTCCTCTTCCAGCAGCGATGGAAATAGATTCTCAAATTGGAGTCTTGTTGTCATGACAACTGTAACATTCTTCATCCCTTGCACTCCATCCTGAGTCAGGGCAGTCTCATCCCCTGCCTGTATCCTCGGATGTCCTTTGATTTCATCCGCTGTTCTTATATCTTGCAAGGTTCTTCGAGTGTCTTTGCTATCGAATCCAAGTTCTTCCTTCCCTTGTTTCCCTGCATGGAGCAAGTTTCTTTTACGGTCTCCCTTGCTGGGTACAAAAGTTCTGAACTTTCCGTTAGTACTGGGCAAGGCATTGTTGTCATCATCCCTCAGGCTGTTCAAACCTGTTAGCTGGACGGTGAATATAGTGAAGAGGATGGAGCTCCCCAGGATAAGTATCTTCTTGCGTATCCGTGGACCCATCTTGAACCTTGTGGTTTTTCCTCAAATCAAAGCCCTGTCATCACCGCTTCATCTCTGGGTTGAATATGTTGTCCATCCAGGATCTTGCTCAAATGTGATCTGGAGAAAATGAAATCATGGGAAAGAGGAAGTGGGTAAATACCATGTATTATTATCAATTAAACTTCAAGCATGACTGTAGCACATTTTGTTGACAACAGAAACAAAAAAGAAAATTTCTCAAGAACTTCATTTCTGATAGAAATAGAGAGCAAATAAGCCGCCCTGCAATATTCTATTCTTTCTTATTATCCCCTCTTGTTAATCAAATATTGATTTTACCTTGTCGAACACCAAATGATCAAAACATCTTTGTATGAACTTAATGCCGGAAGTATGTCATGTACACACAGCCTTTTCAGAATCAATTCACCCATGCGATGACTTTAACAATATGTTTCTTCAAAGAAAATTGTAATCAAAGTTCATTAAAATTCAAGGTGGAACCTCTTAACACTTGTAGGACCATTGTAGGAAGTTATTAGGATCATACAAGTTCAGGTGAATAGAATAGGCACATTATACACAGCATCTCCAAGAAAACTTTTTTTAAAGCCTGCAGTGTATATATTCAAGAAAAGAAAAAGCTGTATAATGTGTAGAGAAGATGTATATATTCTTTCCAAGCTCCAGATATTACTACCAGATCAATACTACTACAATTGTATACAAGTTTACAGTCTGTTCCTATACTGTGTACTTCCTGAGCCCAAGTCCAATGGCATTACCATTGCTAGTATGGTATGAGCGCATGGTTTAAGTTTCCCAGATATCCAGCCTGGCCATGCAACGATTCTGTCAACACCATACTGTAAGATCATCTGAAGAAATAAATAAGACATTTCAAACTTCCCAAACTCAGTGAGCTAGGAAGCTAGAAGATGCTCCGCCCTAGACAGAGATGAAGGGATTCAACGTGGACTTTCAATCAGCGGACATGATGTGCTCCACTTAAAATACCAGACGTAGCAGAGGGGTATTGGGTTGGAAGCAAGGGATGAAGGAAGCCTAAGATGATTTGATGAGAGATAACTAAGGAGTAACACGAGATGCAGAAAGAGATGTGGTTATTCCTCCATACACCTCTCTCTCTCTCTTTACTAGCCTTTAGGTTTTCATGGTATACGGTACATGTAAATTTCAAATATTGCATTTGGTCCTGAATGAAAATTGACCACAAGTTGATCAAATTTCAAAATGACAATTTCCCCCAAAACCTTGTTCACAGTTTCTTTGTCTTCCTTTATCTGAACAGAGAAGGCTGTATTTCTCTGTCTCACAGTATGTCTCCCAATATTTGTCACTATGATGTTACAGAAGCATACATGACTTAGGGAAACTTACAAATACACCATTGAATTAAACATGTAGGTCTTTCAAATGCATTCTACATTGTACCATCCAATTTGAATACCGGTAATGAGGCAATATTCAGCATAACAACATCGGTGGAGGAAGAAAGCAATAGGAGAAGCACTCCATGGTAGACATTTCGGAAGCGGAACACGTACATAAAGACTGGAAAATTAATGTCATGTTTCCTTTATGCCCTTTCTCCATGTCATATCGCGTTCTATTTCATAAAGCTGCAGTTACCGGTAAACCTCTTAAAGCAAGCCAGGTCCAGCGGTGACTCACTGTGGTGCTTTCAGGAGAGCTGAGCCAAGGGAGAGCATCACAAAGAACCATGTCTACAATAAAGAGACACTTGAGGATATCCCCAAGCTGATTATCTCACCTAAGTTTCATCCGCTCCTTTGAAGTTTGAGGAAGGGTTAAGTATGTGCCAAAGGGTTTACTCTCTCTCTCTATTCTTGCAAGGAGATACCAGCGATTCTTCAGACCTCAGTAAGAAGGCATACAGTGAACAGGTTTCTTTTGTCAATCCTTTTTTTCTTTCATTCTATTACTGACCCTCCCTTCCTCTAGGGCTCCTAACCTAACCACAAAGTACAAGTAACCTTCATGTTTAGCACTGTCTTATTAAAAAGAATCGAAACTTAAACAGTAGCCAAAGCTTGGAAGGGGTTGGCACAAGTAACAGGATTTCACGATTTGGGCAGTGCTGAATATATGCCAATTGTGTGTGTTTTTGCCCTACAATGCTTGAATAATCAAAACACAAATTTCAAAAGCATTGGTTTATCCAAGGAGGATATTACAAAGTATCTCTTTGGTTTATCAAATGGTGCCTTGGAAAATATGAGACATGTAATGACAATTAAAGATATTGGATAAATACATTGTCCTGTTGTTAAATCGCACCTCCTCAGACACAGGTAGCACCACAAAAATAGATTCATTTCCTTGCAGCTTGTCAATAATACTTTGATGATCTGTCAAGTTCCGTAAATAGGGTTACACCTAACAAGCCATAATCTAACCAAATGAAGGCCTACATCCAGTCAATGAATAGAGACAAACCAAAAACATGGACCAATTTGTGTATTACCACATCCTGTCAAATAAAACAGGCTGTCAATAAAGTTTGTCTGTTAGAAGGGAGAGGAACTCAACAAGACAATATCTAAACAAAGTTGACCAAAGCAAGCAGACAGACAGCAATCATCTACAAATTGTCATTAATTTTCCTAGAATTCAGTGAAATAATACATAATCAACATCCTTCTATATAGTATCTGAATTACCGGTAGGAGATATTTTCATGTTGAGACACTTTGATTTTAGTACCAACCCTGCCTTTTAAAAAGATTAGTCTTCCCACATTAATCACCATATCTGACTGATACACCTCTGGAATAATCAAGTGACACACACAATTAGTGAAACAAAATGGAAAGAACTTGACATGAACTTGACTTCATGTACCATAGACAGAGCACAACAGACTAATTTAGCACTAGCATGTCCAATTTCACTAGGCAAATATCATTAATCAAAAGTCCAACAAGCACAGAGGGGAAATTCAATCCCCTGTGTGCTTTTGTTGTAAAAAGCCATCATAAAACACTTCAAAGGAGTTTGCGAAAAGCCGTTCATTTATACATAGATTTAGAGCTTAGCGAACTGAGATAAACAGCATTATCTTTATACTTACTTAAAGTCATAAGGGAGAAAGATCCTAAGTTGGATTATCCCTTCTTTTTAAAGGCTCTGTTTGATGGAAATTGATCCTAAGCCCCCCTCACTCCACTCCTTATAATTGACTCTTGTTTGACTAAACTTTCTAAGATAAAAAAGATAACGGATTACCCCTGGAAATTCATATTAGGTACAGACTAGATCAAATCTCTTTAAATAATTTTCCATGAACAAAGTGTTATACTTGATTTTCATATAATTTGGAATGTTACCAGGTCTATTATAAATCTATAGACTGATAAGACATGATCAATCCATACTATCTTCTTTCCATCCATGCACTTGTTATTCTGGGAGTAACTCAGTCATGACAGAGTACACACAAACAAGCAAGTGAACAAACAAAGTTGATGACTGCCTTCAGGTGTAATGATCCAACTCATGTTGTGAAATATCTTCTTTTATCCATATTTATTCCATTCAATATAGTAGACAAATAAATGCATGATTAGTCAAGAAGTTCAACCTACTAGACCTACTCATAAACAAATATTATGCTCTGATTTTTGTAAAGAAAACCAAAAAAGAAGAACATATTTGTGCAGTATAGATGAAATTGGGAGGCCTTGTGCGCAAAAACATGAAGTTCGTGCACATTAGGCCCGTCTTCACTAGCTCGAGATTGCCAAATATCCCGCTATTTGAACTATCCCGATCGCAAACTATCCAACTAATTTGCGTCTTCATCAGCCCGAAGTTGCAATTAGCGGGATATTTGGTCGGGATTGTCATCCCAAGATATCTTGGGAAAGTTTGCAAAATATCCCACTATTTGGCAAAATATCCAGCCATTTGTCCGGTGCGTCTTCACCAGACCGAAGACTCGCACTATGCGCGAACACTGAGCAAAATATCGCGAGCTAATTTCTCAAGGTCGAATCTCGAGCTGATGAAGACGCGATTTGTAACTTCGGGATTATTTCCAAATCAGAAATATCAGGCTATTTGGCAATCTCGAGATGTTGAGGACGCACCTATTGATGGTAAACCCTGCATTCGGCGGGCATAGAATTTCAGGGATCTCGCAAAATCTTGGGCTTGCAGCAAGTAGGGAAGATCGGATTACAATGGTGGAAATTGTTTTTTTTTCAAAGAAATCTGGTAAATTCGGGACCAGGATTTGATATGTACATGTAACACCGTAGCCTGGACAAATTTAATACATCTGAACAAGACCCATTTTAATTTTCTTAATCTGTCCGTCTGATTTTAATAGCTTCATCTATTCATGTGTGAGTCTCTCTCTCTCTCTCTCTCTCTCTCTCTCTCTGTCTCTCTCTCTCATTTCCCTACTAATTCTCATGCTTTAATATAATCCCTTCTTCCAGCCTCACTGGATTCTTTGCTTACCTGTCTTTTCGTTTCCAGAGCAATACAGTGATGTCTGAGCATTTGAATGAGCAAATAAAGCTGACTTTCCAAATGATTCCTCACTGCTGCACAGACTTCCTGAAAGTATTATCTTTCACAAAAGAACCCAATCCTCTAATATAATGCCCATTACAAAAGCTGTATTTGATCAAACTGGCCGACACAAAAACTACTGGTAGCTAACTAATGATACAGAATTAATCCTTTCATTGAACTGGTAAATCAACTGGAAGACTAGTAGAGACTGAAAAACATGGATTATAGGGATATCTTCTTCAAAAACAAGCCAGACATCCGTTCCGTTTCTTTGTTGTTTGCTCTCTACCTGGAAACTAAGGTATGTCACAGTTCAGCTGTGACAGAGATTGTATTTTATGGATGACGAGGTAAATTATGGATCATTATCTAATATTGTGGATCACAATGTCTTATCAAAATTGCAATCATATAAACATGACAACTAATGTAATTTTTTTATCAACTTATTAAATATGTGTAAGCTGTTCATCTAATGGATTCTCAAGGCACCCAACAAAACCAGCTTAGAGTAATTGGCAGTGTATAGTTTTAGCCAAGCACAATATAGT